TGCATTTTCATTTCGGCAAAATTCTGGGTTGCATGCATGCGTATGTCCCTCCATTTGGCACCATGTTAACTGCAAATAAAATGCTACCGACAGGAGGTTGGAAACGACAAAAGACGTCAGGAAGCCAAAATTCTGCAACTCGGCTGCTCATTTCCTTACCTACCTGGGTTAACACGCGCACAAGTGGTTATTTCTGTCCTTTTATTGCCGATAAATAATACTCGCTGATTGCTTTCAGATAGCATGCGGGTGCGTAAAAGCGGGTAACGGGTACTGTGATGTGTCATGTGAAATCCTGCTTCTGGCTGCTGTTGTCACAGTGGGGTGTTGTGTTAACTTGAGGGTCATGTCTTGGTCACACCTCTCGGTATCATCACACATGTTTGTGAGCACTGATTTCAGGCGCTCACGCCAGCCTCCCCGACAGCCGCCTTGGTTCTCCATCGCAGGACAGGAGATGGCATGTGACTTGAGCTAGCAGACCCCTGAGCCGAAATACAGGTTTCGAGAAGTGGCGTCACTGGAACATAGTCAGCTGACAGGATGTTGACATGTTGGGAAAGGCTGGATAATATCCAATGGATATACATTAGGTGTCATTTTTCTTGAGTTGTTGGAACCGGTGCCTTAAGTTGTTTCCAGGAAGTAGTAATAGGAGAGACACCATGGTTCCTCCAGGGTCATTGATCTCTTTGTCAGGTTATACTATGCCACACAGTTAAATGTGGGTAAGGGCCTTGTAAGGGATTTGAACCAACATCCTCCTGATCACATGCACAGCATCCTTATCCACCCATTAGTAACTGAGCCACCCCACCACATCTGCCTTGATTGTTTTGTTTTATAATGCATATTGCAGTTTTATTCAGGCAATACATAAAAGTCTGTCCCTCCCTTGGTGGGCAAGTCCAGAACTTCGCACTTCCCAGATTGGTGGAGTTATTTCAAAATGGGGCTTGAGACTGTAATGTAGGCTGGGTTGGTCTTCGGTAGCCGGTATCGAGGACGTAGAAGGATCTGAAAGAAGACAAACGTCGTTCTTTCTCATTTTCTCATGTCGGTTTCCAACCAGGCCTCGGATGCTTAACGGGTCACGTGCCGGAAGTCTGTCCCGGTGTGCTTGGCCGTTTGTCTGTCGGTAGGAGCACCAAGTTCAAGAGGAGCAAAGGCAGCGGTGACATCCTGAGCAGGAGGTGCTGCTAAGCTTAAGAAAACCCTGGAGGAAACTAAATATTACAACCATGGGTGCTGGTAGCCATTTTGGGCCCCATGAAAGCATTTCTTATAGGCCCCCCAACTCAGACCAATGCAGTTATGTTTAAAAAATTTTAGGGCCCCTATCACTCATAAGCCCTTGGAATGGTCCTGTCTCCCCCCACAGTGCAACTGATTGTGACCACAACTCACAGCCACCAGTAAAATAGCACTTCCCACACGGAAGAGGCACCTAGTGACAAGGACAAGAATACGGACAAAGGCAACAGGAAAGATGTGAACAAAACGGCTATAACCTCTTGAAGGTGAACTATGTGTCTTCAGTGGGTGGCAGTTGGTCATTTACATACCGGAGCGGAGTGGGCCATCCACGGGCGGAGGCGGCGGGGCAGATGGACACGTCTTGCGCTGACCGAGCCTCCGTGCGGCACGCTGGGCCCAGAAAGGGGGCGTCCCACTGAGACCCTGGCGCCGACTCGCGGGCTTGGCCCCCGCCCATCCGCGAGCTGACCGGGCCTCGGGACGGGCTGCTCCCCCGAGGTCCGGGAGCAGCAGACTCCAAGCTGGTCCGCAGGCAACGCATGCCAACATGGATGCCAAGGAGGGAGGTGGGCACCAGAGCATCGCCCATACTCGCATGCCATTTTATTCCGAGCTTGTCTTTTGTCGTTCACCACGTGTGTACTGTGCTGCATCCATGCATGTTCACTTCTGTTCTTTGAGTTATTATTAGAGCTGCCCCCGTACTTATAAAAAGAGATTTAAAATGTACAAGTCTGTATAAATGCAGCCAATGCGCAACTGAGGGCTTCCATAATTTATAGGAACAGCATAGGTTGTTTATTTGGGTTAACTATCTAATAACCAGTTAGGCTGGGTTATGAACCCCGACCATGCATCGCCCTAAGATACTGCCGCTTGTCCCTGGGAGGTGCCCGGGACCGAGTGAGGGGGTCGTCCCTCCGCGTGCAGCAGACCCCAGGTTTGGACCGGCATGGCTGAAGCGGGCGAGCCGCGCTTGTAGCCCCGGAACAATGAACTCATCTGTTCCTCACACTCCTAACGTGCCCCAGCAGAGCTCCCGCTGTGTGCCTCATTAAAAAGAGCCCGGCTGTGGGGTGGGGGGCGGGGGAGGGGGGTGCCTCACGCGTTCTCGTCGCGCCGCTTTGGAGATGGCCCTCTCTGCCACATGTCCCCACGCGGGCGCAGGTGGGGCGGAGTGAGAGGGCGCACTCAGCAGGACCTGCTGCAGCCAGAGCCAGAAAACCCGCAGCAGCCAGGACGAGTGTGAGGGGGAGCCATGGAGGGCAGTCTTTACGTGTGTGGTTGTGTTTTTTTTTTTTTTTTTTTGCCCCCACGCTCAGCAGAGGGTTCTGCACCTGAACACAGGAGAACTTTCCACACCTTTGTTTCGGAGTCATTTTGGTCATTTTCATCTGAACAGCTTGAGGAATGTATTTGTGATGTTTTTTTAATCATAGGTCTAATAGATCAGTCATTCTCAGGTTTATTTTTGGGTGGACCAGTTAGGTCTTCGTTTAGAAATGGCTGCTCTAGATGAGCCTAGTGTAACGTAAGGTAGAAATTAGTTAACTCTTAATTCCTCAAGTGTAGTGAAAACATACCAGTGAAATATGCCCTTTGAGTACGAGAAACAGTGTGTTTGGTATTGGCCGCGTTTAGGGCCCTCGTTATGGGGCATTGTGTCCGTGGAGCTCACTCGTTGGCTCCTTCTTTTGCGGATACCTGGCACGTCGCTCTGGGGGCTGTGGGACGGCACGTCTCGCTTGATCAGGTTGATTGGAGATGCATGCAGGCTTAGGATCAGTCGCATGGATGGGATCTGTCTCCTGCCAAAGCCACGGCTCTCGCTCTGATAACTCCACAGTAATCCGACAGGCCAAGCCGCTCCACCACGTAGCGGAGATACAGAGATTTCACCTTTTATTCATTTGAAAGGGAGATGAGGACCATTCCCTTATATGCCGTCGGATTGAATATTCCACACATTCCTCATCAGGCAGTGGTGTCTAAGGGGTTTGTTTCCCCACAAACTGGATTTGCCTCCTATTTCGAAGGACAGTGTCACTTACTGAACGCAGTTATGCCTGACTCTCTATCTCCTATCTGTGTATTTCTGTGTCCTGTCTGTCTGTCTACCTTTCTAACTAAATTATGATATGAATGCAATCACAACAAGCTAAACCCTGTGCCATCTTTCAGCATTAGTTGTCGTAGTTGTTCTTGTTGTTTTCCAGGCCAGTGAGAGCTGTAGAGGTCGTCACTATGGATGTGTAGCCTGTTAACCCCTTGATGAACACCCTCTGAATTGTAGAGTGCCCTCTCTGTGGCTCTGTATTTCCGCAGTGCATTTCTGCTGGAGGGTTTCATCCAGCTTCGTCAGCGGCACCGTGGTTTCTGGCGCAAGTTCAGCTCCTCGCTGTCACCCCCCCCCCCCCCAGTTACCTTTCTCTGTGAGCAATGAAGGCATTTTTTTTTGCACCAGCACTCCTCCCAGAACCTATAGGCTCAGTGTTTTTAAATATATTATTAATAAATGTATCTAATGTATCACTTTTGGTAAAATGTGGATTTTATGTATTATTAACTATGCTTAGTCATACTGACTTTCCTAATTAAAATCTATTTTTGTGACAGATAACATCCGAGTGCATCGGAGGCCTATCTGCTTGTACTATATCTTTTTGGCGCGGCCTAACAGCTTTGGTGTGAAATAGGAACTAAAGAAACAAATGAAGCCTGTGTGGTTTTATGGACCTGTGACCAGCTGCCTGCACCTCCCCACCACATTTACACATTAGACTGGACGTTTTGGTTGCAGGAGAAGCTCCCCCTTCAGCATGGAGGCTCTGCTCAAGGCTCCCTTTTCTCTTTTCGGGAGGGTGAGAGCTGTCGGTTCGGCACGATCCTTCTCTTAGCGTTCCCCGCGCGCTGCCGGACTTTGGGCTGTCTCAGGTGCCCAGCACTAAGGGGAAGGACAGCGAGACCGACCCGTAAATGGAAGTCATAAACCGACATGTGGCGTTTTTTTGTGAATTGTACTGAAATCTTTCACCGGCTGATTTCCATTCGTTAATGAGCACATGGGTTTATCTTTCTCTTTTTTCTCCCTTTCCCCTTTTCTCCCGGCCTGCTTTATGCCGACCCACGTCTGATGGACGAAGGTGTGTCATTAATGGGGAGATGCACGCCGCAGTAATTAAAGCAGCGGGGGGCTTTGCATGTACCCTGGCCGGCCACCCTTTTCAGTTCCTGCTCCTCTGTCCTTATTCATCGGCCATGTGGGCCTGTAGCCGGAGGCAGTTTTGTCACATTCTAACGATGCTTTTCAGTGCAGGGCTCGGCTCCCAACAGCCTGGGACCTTTTGAGCCAATCAGTGTTGGCTTTTGTCATATGACGCCCCTCCCCCCTCAGCCACCAGCACCATTGCCACCACCACCTCCCTGTTCTGGACCAGGGCAACTGGCATCCCAAACCCCCTGTGGGGCTTATCTCCTATTCTGTTCTTGTGATCTGTGATTACAAGATGTCGTCCCTGTGTTGCCTTGTTGTATTATGGCTTTGTTCAGACCGTGTAGAACGGTGTGGTATAATGTGGTTTGCCATATTTTATGAGCACCCAGTTTGAACATTTGTAAAATGCAGGTATCAGAGAACCGGTGGGCAGGCACTGAAATCTCTGGTGCCAGACAATGTGGACAGTAGCAGACTGGGTGCATGTTTGACCTTTGACCCCTCATCCTTTCTCTCCCTTCTATTTCAGCCTTTAGCCACTGCTGTAAGGAGAGTGGTTTCCTGATGGTGGTTAAGTGTCAGGAGCAGAACGCAGCGCTCAAGGAGTGCCTGTCTACGCAGTGAGTCGACCGTCAGCTGGGGGGGGGGGACGCTGTGCTGAAATGCTGTGCATGCCGTGCTAAGTTTGGGCCTCGAGTTATGGGATTACAGCCATCAGTGAGCAAAGGCTCCCCAGGGCGTGGGATCAGATCTCTGGGCTATCATTGACACATGTGGCATGGTGATCTTTCTAATGGCACTTTTCCACTGCCACGAAGAACCAAGCTGAACCGTGAACTGACGGTTTTCCATTTTAAATTATGCGAGCTGTACCCAAGCCATACCCACACTGACACGGCTCTGCTTACTAGCAGGGCTGAAAGCGTGACCAAACCGAGCTGGTTTTGTTACCACAATCTGATTGGTTTTCGGTATGCATGCATTATCTGGAGGAAAAGGGTCATATTATATATGTTAATAGTAGTATCGCACATCGTAATGCATTTATGTGTTGCTGGTAACTCAGAACTTGAAAGTTTCCAAGCATTTCATGGTAACATAACACGACAATTCTCACAGATGTACTAGCGGATCTTTGCACTTAGTGCATCATGGTGTACACTGTGTGAACAGAAAATAAGCGTCCCTTCAGTTTTATGTCACTGTCAATCTCCAAACCTGGCAATGCCTTTGCCAAGCTTGATCGTACTGCAGTGGAAAACCAAAGTGAACCAGAACCGTGTTGTAACTAGTTTCTCTTCGCAGTACAGCTTGGGTTCGGCTTGGTTCCTGTAAGTCAGTGGAAAAGCGCCGTAAGTTCTTTTTATCTGGGTAGTCGGCCTGTAGGTTCAGTAGTAGGTTATCGTATGTTAAAGCCCTGAACTTCATGTTTTGTCTAGAAATATCACTGCAGTTTCAGCTCATGGAGTTATCGTTCTGTCCCGGCAGCTACAAGGATCCAGGATTTCAAGAAGAGTGCAAACAGCAATATGTAAAAGAGAAGGAGGAGTTTCAGAAGACTGGCATCCCAGCAAAGAACAGGAAACAGAAACTGCCCACCAGCATGTAGTGCCAGGAGGCGGGGTCACCCACGGGAACGCCACCCCTCCCAGTCCAGCTCAGAGATGGAGATGGTCGCCTGTACCTGCTGACGCTTTGGAGTGAGGACACTGTACTGCACTGGAAAAGCTTCTCTTTTGGCTCAGCAGGCCTCTCTCAGCTCACTGCCTGCTTGTACATGTCTTCATGAAAGGAGAATATTATTGTCACTCGATTATTATATCTAAAATAAAAAGAAAATAGTTAAATAAAAATAGTATATTTCTTCTGGCATTGCTGGGCTACACAATCCTTGTCATCTCTGAATGACCATGATCAGTCCATTTCATTTCAGGACCAGGTTTAGTTATTGTATTGAGTTTAATTGTAAAACACAGAGACTTTCATTAAAGGCAATGTTTATTTTAGTAAAACTAGGTACCAGCAGGTAAGAGCTGAAAATTGGCCCAGGTTAGATTTAATACTAATATTAACAGCTTTTTCGATTGGGCTGTAGCGTCGCCCCCAACCTAATCAGTGAGGACCTTTGCTTTATTCTCTCTGCAGGTTTTTGCTGGGGATTCCCGAAAATCTGTTTTTCAAGCTTCAGTTTGGTGCCCAGTTCATAGAGTTTTTGTTAGGCTTCTGTGAGAAGAGACGGTGAAATTGGCCATTATTACGGCGAATCATTGCATTTCCATCAGTAATTTCAGAGAATGGCAAGGCATAGGTTAGCAAAAAGAGTAAGAAAAATCTTTTATTTTTGTGGAAAATAAAATGTCACATTTCTGTGCAAAGAAATGTGTTGCGCCTGTTTTTATACTGTCTTAACGTGCTTACCTGCCAGTACTTATTAGAACTAATAATGGGAAAGATTCCGATCAGAATGAGACTGTCTTTAAGCTGTCTCCGCGGGCCGCCTCTTCCTCTGTCTCATGAAGATTTGAAATATGGGGATTTGAAATATGCAAGGTTCAGTCACTGCCAGCACGGCGACAGTTTATGTCCAAGCCTCTCCAAACAGACCACGTCCCATATTGCTGATACGGTCTTAAAACAATTAATTAAAGATTCTTTGCCAGCACTGTACCCACAGAATGCCTTCTCCTTACGGCTCAGCCGAAGACTAGATTCTCAGGCACCAGCCCCCTAAAGGCATAATGAGAAGTAATGCTTGGTAGAAATCACATTTGACACATTTTTTAAGACTTTGCACCTTATAAAAAGTAACCTCTGTGCTCAGTTTCATATTCATACTTTAGAACATGAAAAGGCAGAGCTGTCAGGCTGATTTATAATTAGACCAGTAATCGTACCAGTGCTTGCCCTATGTTCCCGAAACATTACAAGATGATCTTTTGACGTTTTCCTTCAAATGGCATAAAATGATTTTACTCCTCATATTTGGGGAGATTTTGGAAAAATGTGAAAGACACCCGGGCCCAAGAGTTTCAGACGGATATTACTCCCAAGTTGTGTCATCTAGGGCAAATCCCAAAGGCATCCGGAGCAGACCACTGTGCCCATTGGATGCTTGGTCCTAAAACAGAGACTCTCACTGGCAAATTCTTAAATGCCGAAGCTTAAATGCTTAAATTCTTAAATGCCGAAGCTTAAACGCTTGTGGGCACTGACTGCAAGAATGTGCTCATTTAATCATCAAATCCAGTCTATGAGTACAGCACACGCACAGCTGAGTGTTTTACTGCACAAATACAAGCTGTACTCTTATTCCACAATTAGGGGGATAGCAGTAATTTGGCTCCTGGGATTTGATCTTAGAATGTGTTGGTGCAAAAGTCCAGACCTTGTCCTCCATGTCTGTATCACAGCTCTGAAGCTTTCACACTGCGGGGCTTGCATCTGCTTCTGACGCTTAGGGGTGCCCGTCCCAGCAACAGTCTGTGTGTGTGTTGACATGGAGATTGTGACCTGGTGGCAATCTAGTTATGAGTTTGGCGCATTTCCCATTTCACTGTCACTGTGTATAATTCATATCTCTCACGTCTCATATTTTACCAGGAAAAAGTCATTCTAAAAGACCGTTTTGTTCTTTAGGGAGCCATAAACCAACCAGGAACGTGCATGTCTTTCACCTTTCTGTTGCATTTCAGCAAGATCTCTATTTATTCAGTACATTTGAGAATGTGCAAATGTAGATTTTCACAGAGCCAGGCCGGTTATACTTGCTTGCTCTTTGCCACACGCAGCTGGAGAAGAGGGTGACTCAGCCTTTGTGATCATGCTACATTTTCTCAAAGTTTTTTTTTTTATCCACCTTTTTATCATTTAACAGGCTGTGACTTTGACAGCAGGCCTGTTGTAGCGAAGGCCTGCCTGCCGTAGTGCTGCTGGTGTGGCTGTTGGATGCAGTAAAAAGTCACCAATAGAACATTTCAGACTAACACCCCGCAGCTAAATATTCTGGAGCAGGCTTGTGTGTTAAGGCCCTGAGCTGAAATGGGCTCTTGGACTGTGCCTGGGCGTAGCAGTGAGAGATACTGGGTGCTGTGCCTGTGGGTGTGTGGAGCTTTAGGTCGACGGGATACCCATTGATCACCCCATGCGCGATAGATCCTGGAAGCTAGACTTACAGCAGACTGACCTGTGTCACCTCTCCTCACCTGCCTCCCCCACACCCCCAGTGAGCTTCCCTGGCTCTCTGTCACAGCAGCCGGTCTGTCACCAGCTCCAAGACAATACACTCTGCCTTTCGGAATATAGGCAGGTGTAAAGTCACTGACAAGCCGCTTTTAGATCAGAACAAGTAAATTATCAGATTCGGTTTTACCTTATTAATATAAAAAGTAGCCGTTCATCTTGCTGCCAGCTTGATGTAAACCCCGATTGTGCTTTTACTGGGATATTACAATTGACGTTATCAGTCTGTGTTAAGGTAGCGGTGATTTACATTATTTTCTGTCATAATATAATGTCATGTAATGTCAGGATAAGAAACTGAAAATGCAATTGCATTATACGGAAGTGTTTTTTAACAACGCATTTGGGAAGTCATCTGTTCCGCGCTACGTATTGAAGTATTCCACGTTTTGCAGCGGCATTTCAAATGAGATGTTAATTAGGTGGAAAGCTCCCGAAGGTTTTGGGAATTAATTGGCTTCTTCTGGAAGGAGGAGAGCCGAATCGCGTGTGAAACTGACACCTCGCTTCTTCCACTTAAACGCTGTCAGTCCTTAACTCAGGTATGTATCTGGGAGCGCTGTAAGACGAAGCTCACAGAAGGGGCGGTTTGATGCATGTCTGCACCTAAACCATTTACCGGTGTCTTCTGCGAACTACACTAAATCAGATCCCTTTCAGCGGTTTCGTTATTATAAGAATACAAACACCCCCTGACAAATAAACCTGATAAAACCTTGATTAGTCATGAAGACAAACTGATTCCACAATATGGCTCAGTAAAGTTCGTCATCCCTGGAAAAAAACAGCAGCAACCCCACAGTGGGATTTTAATATAAAAGCAGCCTGTTATATAAAGAAAGATTGAATAGAGCAGATGAATATAAATAATGACACACGCTGGAGCACCGGCGGCCTGACCATCTGGATTTCTTAGGTAGGAAAATACGCTCAGCATTCAGCGAAATGTGTACACTGCTGAGCCACACGATTTTACTTTTTTCTAATTTGCACCTCTGTTTTACCGGCTGCGTTAGGGGAATAAGTCTATGGTCCCTCTAGGATAAGCAGCGACGGCTCTTAACGGAGAGTTCATTATGTGGGACACTGTAATCATCTGTCTGTCACAAAGCTACATTTTGCACAATATTATACCCAGTAGAGTTCCCTTATCAATACCGCAGTGATTGCTTCATTATGTTCAACTGGTCTCCTACTGAAAATCAGACGAACGCACCTACTACACATTAAGAGAAAGTCGTTTTTAAATTAAAATGAATATATCCCGGCCTATATGATTTCTGCAGCTACCGCATTCTTGACGCGAGCGAAACTTTGGCAATCGATTTGCAATGAATTGTGAGATTTATTGGCCTAATAATATTCAATCCGTCAATTTAAATAAAGCCGTTTTGAAATGGGGGGCGTCGTAGATGACACAGAAACCTTCCAATGGGGGAGCAAAAAAAAATCCCTGATATGACAGTAAATTTAAAAAGAAAATAACAGTTTATGAAATTACAGAAAACGACGCGTCCCTTTATTTGAGGGCCTGGCGATAGAGACCGTGCCCCCGGCTGCGAGGGAAAGCGTACGTGCGGTTAGAAAAGGAGAGCGACTTCGGAGCGCGATGGTGTGAAGTAGCGGCGGCTGCTCGCCTGCGCACAAACCGTAGTATCAATAACACCTACAGGCGTGGAAGACAGGCTATGCTGTTGAAAAAACACAGCTTTTTTTTAAGAAAGGGGGGACTTCTGAAACATCTGGTTACTGATGTTTTTGAAGTGCTGAGACTGCTCAGGTGCTGCCTTTTTTTTTTTCCAGTCGCCCACATAGGTGGGTGGTGGTGGGGGACCCCCAGAGGTTGGCCGGCGTTCCTGCGAGCAGCGCCTCGGCTCCCCGGCACAGACCCCTCTACCTCTCCGCGATTCGGCCTCCCTTCAAAACATCAACAGTGGAGACACAGCAGTTTTTTCCCTTCCACACCCTCCATCGATACCCTGCCCACCTTCCAAATATTAGCAGCTATGAAAAAAAGTGTTTGGTTTTGGAATATAATTAGTGGAGCATAATTTCTCACTTATAATTAATGTCTGGTCAAATAATAACAAGCACGCGGTTCCGCGTATCCTCCTTTCCAGTTGCCTCTTCCCATCATTTGTAAATATTTACGATAGTTACCTTGCCCATTAAAGTACAATGTCACGAAGGTGTAGAGGAAACCATCCCTTTAACCCCACTTTGGCACAGTAGTTTTATTTTCTGTATTTTAAATAAAACACATCTTCCAACGATTACTTAAACTGAAGGAGGTATCTGACAACCCATGTTATTCAGGAGCCATATTGTCTCAGTCGTGACATGTAGATCTACTGATATATCAGGCTGTCAGATATTGCTTTTACGGCGTGTCGGAGGGATTTGATTGCCATGTAAATTTATTTTAATATCGTGCTAATTTAAGCGTGATTGTTAAACATTCAGCCATAACGATAGCATTGTTACTGCTATTACTAATGCTGATAGACTATATTAGTTAATAATAATAACATAGCGTACTGCAATCATAATAAGTCTCGTGCCTTTTAATTCAGTTAAAAGGGTTCCTGGGGGGAACAAAACAACTATTTTAATCACTATAACACAGCATTAATACAACAATTCAACTTTATCACATAGATTACTTTAACTATCAGTTTCACGGTGTTTGTGGAAGCGGGGAAATGGTAATTTCTTTCACCCGACACGTTATATTCCGTAAATGTTCTTTTGACACACAAGGGATAGAGTCAGAGATCTAATTAACACATCAGCAAATTCTGGACCGTTTTGCCATGTTGGATGACTAAGGCTGGAAGAAAAGAGGCAACAAAATCCACATGATCATTAAGCAGTTTGAGGACTCTGAAGGGTATTAAAAACTGCTGATCAAAGTCTAGAAAAGGTCTCACTGTTGTCCAGGCTTTCGTTATTTCGGTTATTTTCATCCGAGTTGATGTACATTTAAAACATTTACCAGTTGTGTTGCATGATTACATTAAAGTGTCATTTTAGCAGCTCTACGCTTCCAAACTGCATTTGAGTGCAGAACGCAAATTATAAAAACGAAAAAACATCTCTGCTAACGACTAACGCCCAAATTTGTGGACTGGTGAACGAA